TGGCCAAATCATTTCTGAATCCTCAATCAAGCAACACTCAGTTGTTCAAACGCCACACGTAGCACCAGCTCGCACGATGTTTGGCATTGTTCCTAAAGTCTATGCTTCAGGGGTATGAAAAACTTAGCTATTCCTTTTATTTGTATACAGGAGACCCTCGCCATTCACAGGGGTTATGTTCTCGTATCCCCCACGAATAGCAAAATCCCTGAATAAGGCACCTTATTCATGAACACCATCTGCATTAATGAATGCAGTGCCCCCAGTGGCTAAGGACGGGGACATGGCTGCGCTGGTGGCAGCAGGAGTGCGGTAGGAGGAGTGCAGCTGTGGCAAGCACGGAGCTCCTACTTTAAGTGTATTTAAGATGTGGGCTCAGCATTTGTGAATATTTGAAACCACAAATGCTGAACCTGCAAAAAGCGAGGGTTTCTGTATAGAGATATCAATATAGAGATATAGGTATATCTATCGTCTTACAATTTTAGTAGACAAGACAGATGCAGGCCTGTTTGTTGCAGAAGTGGAGGTCAGTGGACCTAAGTTCACTTAGAAAATTATAAGTTTCCCTCAGGGAGGCCACTGAACGCATAATAATTCAGTCGTGGAGACAATAAGTGAGAGAACAGATACAGGACTGTGAGTCAGAGGTTAATCCTGAGTGTTTGGGGGGAGGGGGCGCACGAGGGACACTGAGTAGAGCACAGCAGTTAGCACTGTCTGCCCCTCAAAAGTGTCCAAGGAGCCTGTGGATGGATGCCAACCAGTGAAAGTGCTCAGAGATTTACAGAGAGGAAACAGCCACATAGGCACCTGGGTTCTCCCTTGGTAGAACTCCCTTCCTGATTTGATGAATGGCAGGCTTGTCTAGAGCCAGGAGAAGGTTAAGGTGGACACAGGATAGGTGGAGAAGCAGAGGCACAGAGGGAGCAAGTGATTCTCTCAAGCTTGTGAAATGGCCAGTGTTAGAGCTGGGCATAGAATCTGTAACCCCTGACTTACAGCACAGCCCAGACTCTCATATGAGTTCACTGTTTTATACAGACACCAAAGCCTCTGTTTCAGCACTTCTTGCTGACCTAATCCAGGTCAGTAAGGCTCCTCAAGAAATCATAGTTTGTATTGGAAATTTAAATACTCAGAAACCGAATTCTAACCTATGATATATGAGGGTGTTTGAAGTCGGGTCTCCATCCAGTCTTCAAGAGAGTGTCAAATTAGAATCCATCTAATTTCAGAGGAAGCAAGATCTACCAACAAGGAAAGTCAAGCAAGGCTGCCTGCTGGATGCTGGGTTCTGCAACATGCACTAGCAAAGAGTTGTTTTTTGAAGTTGTACTTATGTGCTACCTCCCATGTATTATCTGCCTGTTTACCTTCTGGGAATCATCTCATGTACCACCAAACTGCTTTTCTAAATTTCCTGACCTCCTCTGCAGCTGAAATTGAGAAGCTGTACCTCCTCTTGGGCAGGGCTGGGACCCTGCGATGAGCTGTCATGTTGTGGTGTTGACTTGTGTAAGTGACAGGGATACTAAAGGCTTTTTGTTTGAAGTAAGGCCTAAGCTGGGGTGGGGCATGACTTCAGTCCCCAGAGGCTGGGTCACAGGTATGTTTGCCTGTATGCAAAAGACCAGCACCACATGGTTTCATTATCTTTTCCTTAGGCAAAAAGGACACTACAATCTCATGGTTTGAAATGGGGCCTTGGAAGTTGGGGCATGGCTTCCTATTTCAGCCCCCCTGTTTACCCATCAGAAACTGGAGCAGTGATCTCTGTGCCGTGTCAGGCGGAAACAGCAAGTTTTGAGCATGTAGCTTAAATAAATGTTGGGGTGTTTTGATTGAGCACCCCTGGCTTATAGGACTGAGTTGTCTCTTGAATATTTGTGTTTTCGGCCAAACTTGGGAATAACATGTAACCTGTGCGCAGAGGATACTTGAGTGCCTAAAAGAGGCTGGACTGATGGTGAAGGTAGAAAAGTGTGAAATGGGGATAGCAGAAGCATCTTACCTGGTTGGCTTCATCCCTATGCTACTTTCTATGTGGATCTGGTCTCTCTGGATTTCTGTAAGATTTTGGGGTTGGCCCTGCAGTTCTTTTCATGGAGGCAGGGCAAATCCCAAGCACCTTATAGAAGGACTGGAAAGGAACTCTCTGAAGAGCTCCTGGATATTTTCTTCCAGAGTCCTTTCTGTGAGCTTTTAGCAGGAGGCAGTGATCCTTTTATATACAGTAATGTTATGGGATATATTTATGTTCTGTCAGAAATCAATCCCATGGTGAGGAAATAGGATACATAATTTAACAATGTGTTACTTTGAACCTGCATTTATTTCTACAAATGTTATGGAGTATTGTAAAGGTTGGAAGGGAAGTGTTAACTGGAGAAAATGACAGCATATGATTAAAGGGTTTTATGACACTGGAGAACTGGCTGGATTCCTGTTGCTTCTGTGCTTTTAAAACTACCTGCCATTGTAACCAGAGATCCATGTATGCGTATTCTAAAAGACAGAGGAACATATGAAAAATTTTCTAATACGCTGGAATAAACTTCCCTGTTTACAAAAAGTGATATGAGACCTTTAGTGAGTAGGCACAGGAGACAAGATTTTGCTTCTCTGAAAAAGCTATCTGGATATCCAACTTTTTTCCCTTAGAGGCTGATAAGATGCATCAGCCTGCAAGGTTTTACCTCTGAAGTTTAGAGAACTGTATATTCCAAACCATCATATAATTCCTGTCTCTAATTTGGCAACTTTTAAACTCAGACTTGTACCACACTCCAAATCCCAAAAGGATTTGCTGCTAAAAGCTATGCTAGTATGATTCCTGAAGTTATCATCCCAAAGCCATGCATCAGGAAACTGACATATTAATTTGCAGGGGATATTGAATTCAGTGCTTACAATGGGTATTGTGGAGCCATAGGCCTGTTGCAGGGCATCTGAAGCTTAAATGAAATAAATCACCTTCCTACCAGTGAAGCACTAAGTCATCTTCCCAATACCACTTCTCTGACAACAAATTTCCAGACCTGTGGGAAGCCCTGTTAATGACACAGCTTTGAAGGTTGGATCTTGGTCACCCCCACAATGCCTAAATTGGCTAATATTGACCCAAAAGGATTATAGATGCTGATCATATGGCTCAATAATTTCCTGAAATATCAATTTGAACAAAATTCTTATTTGCTTTGCCAGTGTTCACAACTCTTCTGGGACTACGTGGGATAAACATTAAGGAGACACAAGTTATTGGGCTTTTTACAAATATTCTAATGGAAAAGGTACAGGCAGGAGGGTTTGCGCGAACAGCAGATTTTAAGTAAATAGAAAATACTGCGGAACTACTGAGTTTTGAACTCAGCCTAAGATTTATGGTTAGCTAATCAAGAAATTGGAATAGTGCACTTGACCCACCTGTTCAATCAAAACAGCTTTAATTGTGAATACTCAAAAACAACAATCTAAATTGCAGGAAATCAGAACTATTCACCAAAGTTCTTTGACTAACAGTTAAACTAGAGAGTATCAAAAACACTTCTCAGAACTGAAAAAATGATAAAATTAATCTAATAAATTATTCATAGTGAATTATTTGCTGATCCCTAATTATAGAAAATAATCCTCTGTCAATAAATTGGAGGACACAAATGAGGGATAACTGGATGCTTATCCTCACAATCCCCTACATTTAATGTGTTGCATTAATTGCATTGGCCAGCAACCCAACTAGAAATGAGAAGGTCAGTTTATTTAGGCCAACTGTGAAGATGCACTTACTTTTAATGATACCATTCCAAACAAATACTAGAGCTCAGTTAGCTGTATTTTTTTTGGTTTAAAAACGTAAATATGGTAATAAATGTAAGATGATGATACTGATCTGAGTAAGTAAAACTAAAACCAAACTAGATATAAATACTGGGTGTTTTGTAGTGTACCAGAGAAGGGAAATTCTTGGTAATAAATGTAACTCAACTGGAAACGTCTGTCATTGGAATAAATAATAACATCGAAGAGATGAAATATCAACAAGATACATGTTCTAGTAACTTTTATAACTAGAGGGTGGCAGCGTGGGGAGTCTCCAACACTCCCTGAATGGAAATTGTCAGGTTCTGGCAGATGGAAATAAAACTCAATCAACGGAAGGTGTGTTTTGCAGTGAGCCCAAGTACGAAGCTGTATTTAGAACCCACTGCTAGGAAGTCAGGTAGTGGACAAGAGAAACTGGGACAAGATAAACTTTGAATCCCTTAGAGTCACAGGATGGGGACATTTTGCTTAGTGGGAAGCTGCTGAAGGAAGGTCTGGAAAGATAACAGCTGTCAGTGTATGTGAGGCATTCTGAAGCTGTTGTGTTGTGCAAAGGAAATATTTGCTGTGTTCTCAGAGAAACAGAGGGAGGGAGTATCTTTTGCATATATGTTAATATATACTGTTAGAATAATGATTCCTTTATCTATGTTGTTTCTTTTTTTATTATTGTTAACTCATGCTGTTGGGATTTAAACATTGGATCTTCCTTTGGCTCTGTTGATAAGTTCATCCTGTTTCACCCAACGCTTGTAAAGACGGGGATTACAGGCAAAGAGCACTGTGGAGGGCAGGGTAGATTTGTATCTAGTAGACTAACGCAAGAGAGAGAGAGAGAGTATACACACACATATACATGCCATATACACATATATGTATACATATATATATACACACACACATATGCAAACACACACCTTGTGTGTCTGTATATAATGTGTATATACACACACATATAATACACAAATGTGTGTGTATGTATATATATGTCTGTATTTGTGTATGTATATATGTGTGTGTGTGTGTATGTGTATACACACACACACGGTCCGTAACAGATACACAAATATAAATATATATGCATATATATGTACATCCGTGCAGAGAGCGTCGGGCCGGGCGGCAGGAGGGCACCGGGAGGGGGCGCGCGGCCGCCATACTTGTAGTCCGGTAGGGCGCGGCGCCACAGCCTTCCCAACATGGCGACGGAGCCGGCGCCGCCCGAGGGCTCTAAGCCGCTGAGCGGGCTCCTGAGCGGCATCGCGCAGGCCACGTACTACGGCACCGCCGGCATCACCGAGGAGCTGCTGCGCGGCCAGCTCTACCCCGAGGCGGCGCCCGAGGAGTTCCGCGCGCTGCTGACCAAGCTCACGGCCGCGCTCAAGGTAGGGCCCCCGGCTGTCCCCGCCCCCGGCCACCGGGCAGCCCCTGCGCCGCGTGGCTGTGTACGTGTGTATGCCGTCATCAGGGGTGTCTGCCTGTGCGTGCGTGCCTGTGCGGTTGGTTGTAGCCGCCTTGATCTAGGGGCAGACAAAGCTGTTTGTTTTGTTTTTTAATACGGACATCTCCCAATGCCTGACGAGGGGTGTTTGTGCTGAAAGCTTGCAAAGAAGAATTTTTCCAACTATTTAGTTGGTTTGATCAAAGATACTGCGTTTAGCGGAAAAACCTTGTCTGCCTCTGTGTACGTATACATACAGGAATATAAACCTGTGTGTGTAAGGCACACCCGTGTGTGTGTGTGTGTGTGTGTGTGTGTGTGTGTGTGTGTGTGTGT